AATAAATAAACCTTGTAAGGATACAATGACCGTTTCAGCAAAGTTACAATGTCCCTTAAAGTCTCAAACGAAAGCCTAAAGTGTTGCATCTTTGAAAGGGGTATGAGGTTTGACTATTCATTTTGATAAAAATTAGAGCGCAAAGAGGATCATAAACCGAAGGACTTGTTGAGTATAGTGAAATACTACATCAACTATGAATAAAAACTCTTACTCATCGGGGTCAACCGGGGACCAAAAAATGCAAGACACATCCGACCATCAGAGAAAGACATCGGGTGGTCCAAGGAAGAAAATAAGCATATACCCTGCTCTAGGTTTGATGATTACACTCCCTTGAACACTTCATGGGAAGGAATCTTACAGGAATGTGAGAGCATAGATCTTAAAGAATCCAAGATAAGGAACTTGTACCTAGTTAAGGAGTCCACTCAGAAGGATAAATCCAAATAATGTTATTTTTGTAAGAGTCACAACTATAACACAAATAATCGCATCCAACTGAAGGATGAAATTGAAGGGATGATTAAGAAGGTATAATGGGATAATACACAAATGATGATAATAGGGTCCGCGAGGACTCTCCAAATATATAAAAAAAATCCTTAAAGAAGATTGTTGAAGTCATAGCTGAGGGCAAAGGCAATGGTATAAGTATCGTGGAAGAAGAAGGGCACAAAGAGATGCATCAATACATCACTTCCATCATAGGAGGCACCTTTAGTCCAGTAATTCTTCCAATAGTACAATGAAAAAAAATATCTCTGAGTTGATGGTCGTTAGTAAGAAGGATAGAAACACTACAACTAATGGCCCAGAAAGGCCAATCCTTGGATTTTTGGAAAACAAGAAGATATGAGTGATCCCAAACAAAATTATTCCTTTGTCCATAACGACCATAGTATCAAACTTTGACGTTTCTATATTACTTATTAATTGCGACACCTTTTATGATATCGTGTACTCAGATCTCTATGAGAAGATGGGGCTGAAGAATGAGAAATTACGGCCTTATGAAGGGTCCGACCTACATTTTTTCAATGGATATTAGGACTAATAACTCCTAATTCTTGGTAGTTCCATGCAAAAGTGCCTACAACTACATTCTAATATGGCCCTTAGCACTAACTTTGGATGTTGTGGCTTCCTTGGTCCACCTCAAGCTAAAGTACCACATCATTCATGAAAGACTAGTGATGATAAGCGACAACCTTTATAGAGAAAAAACATTCTACAAGGATTTACAATAGAGCCAGAAAGAAGATGAATGCAGAGCTATGGAGATCAATGTGGCCCTCTTAATCGAGCAATTGAAATACATTGCTATCTAACCTCCCAGAGGTAAATTAGGTCGTCTTGGCCAGACAAGTAGAAATGGCTTATTCGAATGGAGTTAACAATAACTACCTCGTCTCCCATGGCCAACAAGCAGCGGCATAACCACTTGGTTATTTTTAAGTTTTCTTTTTTAAAAATCAACTACAGGTTACTATAATGTATCATGAATTTTGATTGAATGAAGATGAAATTTCCACTAAATTATCATTTTTCTTTGTGATTATGAAAGGGAACGATGAATCTTTGGTATAACCAAAGTGATCGAAGCCCCGTTAGAAAGACTTAGGGGCGCTGTCATAAATGTCACAGACGTATGACTAAAGCAATTAAAACCTAATGATGACAATGCACACACACAGAGAAAGTAAGCCACAAAGTGGCAAATAACTTACTCACTCCCACTTGGTAACTAGCCCCTTTATAAGGTTTGATTATTTTGCTATGTGTGAACCTCGAACCAATTTTTCACTTGGGTAAATAGGAATGGGTACTAATCAATGGTCAGATATGGTCTCCAAAAACTACCAATAAACTTCAGGCACAAACTCAGAGTAAAAGCTAAGTCCTAGATAAATGAACCTGGGACCACAATTAACACCAAAGATAAGCTAAATGAACCCAGGACAAAAACAATAAAGGTTCACTCACTTCGGGTACAAGCACTCCTGTCCCAAAAAGGGAACACTAGTCCCCTTAAAGAGACCATCATTCAGTGCTTAATAGCCTGATTAAGACTAATTTGATCTCGGATCGACATAGTGGGGTAAAAGTATCCCACATGCTTTAAGGCACTCTCGAAAGCATCCTTGACAACAGAGAAACTTTCTTGCATTTACTTAAAAAAACTTCTTAGAAATATCATGATTTTCTTGGTGCATTGCACAAAGGTCGTCTTTAGCCTTATTTTGACTTTCCTAAGACTTATTTATAGACTTCTCTAGATCCCCAATCCTTTTCTAGGAAATATCTAAGGAATGATTTGATTTTCCAAGAATGACTTCCACCTTGGACAAAGATGATTGGGCGGAAACTAATGCCTCATTTTTATTAATTACTTCATGAGAAAGAAGCTTCACCTTTTCAAGCAGAGTGTCAAGGTACTTAAAAGACTACATGAAGGCCTCCATATCCATGATGGGATTGGAAGAACCTTGGATCTCCTCCAGGTATCAATTACGCTCAACTGTAAGGTTGTGAACATGTTCCTTGAGCTTCTCTCTCTCTCTCTCTCTCTCTCTCTCTCTCTCTCTCTCTCTCTCTTCTCTCTCTCTCTCTCTCTCTCTCTCTCTCTCTCTCTCTCTCTCTCTCTCTCTCTCTCTCTCTCTCTCTCTCTCTCTCTCTCTCTCTCTCTCTCTCTCTCTCTCTCTCTCTCTCTCTCTCTCTCTCTTATCAAAGACGGCCAGGTAAGATGGACTTTTCCTGGCCAAAATTCTTGGGCGCCATAATTTTTGACGTGCGACTAGTATGATAAGCCAATTCCCTTTGTTGAGCTTCCTCAAAGAGACCCGAGAAGTAAGTGTAATCTTCATTAGAAACTAAAATTATAAACCCCTTGTCTATTCTTGGGCCAAGGCATTCTAGCAACATGGGATTTTGTTGGAGATAACAGTGGCGATGATTTCTTAGTAGAACATACCACACATTCAAATTTCTCTTTTCCATGAGATTTTAAGTTTGGAAGGAATTATTTATTGAACTTGCTAAAGTTACCATCAACTTTAGCCTAAGGCCTTGCGCTTTCATGGCCTTGTTGACACTATATGTCAATTTCTAAGGGAGAATTATAAGTTTTCTTTTTTAGAGGTTGATTGGAATGGGTTCTAGTGCTTGCATATCCTCTCCGATCCACCATGGTTGTGAATAAAAGATAAGAACGATAATTCATTCTCACTAAAGGCACAAATGTTATAATTTAGAATCTGGTTCGCAACAATGAAAGTGAACCATTGGATGATGATGATGTTTAGTCGAACTTCACATTGTAGGCTCTAGTGGAAGATGGGCCATTTCGCTCCATAAGACCCGATGAAAGGGGATTAGTTCCCATCATATGCCACAATGGAATGGAAACTTGCAAACACTCTAATGCCTAAATATGTGATAAATGCAAGTGTGAGGTTTTTAAGTTAGAATATTGTGTACCTAAAACTTAGGCCTTTATTAGGGTTTTATAGTGAGGTCCTAAGGTATCTAAAGACTTATAGCCTTATGTTTTTTAGTGATGTCTCGAAGGACATGCATTAAAGGATCTTTCAAGTTCTTTTTATCAGACAATTTTCATGGGCCTTCGTTAGCCTTGATTAGACGTGTCTCTAAGATATATTCATTTCATGGACTATCCAATGTATTAGGACATGAGTGACCTAATTCTCTATATATTGGACTTTGGTCCAATTGGGTCTATCTCTTGAACCGTCAATCTTCCAAATTATTTATTGTATTAGAACATGAATAACCCTATTTTTCTGACATTCAAACTCAGTCCATATTAAAATAAAATATATATTAATGAAAATTCAAAAAAAAAAAAAAAGTAAAGGATGAAAAGTTAATATTTAAATAAATAATACAAATTTTATATTTTATTAAATAAATAACACATTAATAGCAATAATAGTTAGGAATGACAAAAATATACATACCCGTGGATAAAATCCGTCACGGATATGGGGCGGGTAATATAATGGATATCCATGGATAAAAAAATTGATATTTAAATATTCATTTGTTAATGGATATTGATACAAGTTTAATGATACATGTGGCCGCAGATATCCATCTCTGTTAATAAATTATAAAAAATATTTAAATATCATTAGTTTATTATACCTTATTTTTTTCATCTTCTAAAATAAATAGTATTATTATATATTTTTTATTTTTTATTTTGAAGAAAACCTTTCACATTTCCTTCAAATTATATTAGTCATTTCATATTTAAACTCTTCAATACTTCATATCTCACTTCAACAATTTCACCGTTCAACCAACTAGTGTTGTCATTCCTCTGTCGAACCAGTGTCTCCCGACCTACTCCTTTGCCGTTCACTCTTCCATCATAACTCACAATCAAAATATCTTTTATTTATTTGGTTAAAAATGAAATGTATGAATATTATGTTTGAATCTAATTATGTTTTAGGGAATAAGAAAAAAAATTAATGTGATGACATTTTATTGTTAAATTAAGAGCGAATTGTATGAAAGTTGTGATAATAATTTTTTGGATTTTTGAAAGAAGTTACAAATTATTTTTTAAAATAATAATTTTTATAAAAAAATATTATTAATGAATATCTGTAAATATCTATAGATACAGTAAAACTTGCGGATTATCCGCTTAACAAATATCCGCATAAATATGAGTCAGATATAAATATCATATTTATCCAAAAAAAACAAATACAAATATCATAATATCTATTCCCTTAAATATTCATTTACATTCGTGATAGTTGTCGCAGATAATATACAAAAAGTTCATGAATGTTGAATATCATTCCACACAAAAAAAACTTGTTAGATACATGGAAGGGCATTTACGTAATAACATATTGCCGTTCATTTAACGTCTTGTAAAAAAAAAACTTAATAATTGTTATAAATAAATGTTGCGACACACTAAGATAGAGTCAAAACGGCTTCAAGTGTAGAAACTGAGAATGGACGAAAATAAACCAACACCGTCCATTGAAGATGATGTAACCACCGCTGACAGCCGGAGAGTTGGAACGCGCCACCCTATCTACCGTGGCGTCCGGAAACGGCGATGGGGAAGATGGGTATCAGAAATTCGGGAACCGAAGAAGAAATCTCGTATATGGCTAGGGTCATTCCCGGTGCCGGAGATGGCCGCAAAAGCCTACGACGTCGCAGTATATTGCCTCAAAGGCCGAAAAGCGCAACTCAATTTTCCCAACGAGGTCGAAAATCTACCACTTCCGGCCACACCTACGGCTAGAGACATTCAAGCCGCGGCGGCCAAGGCGGCGAGTATGATGAAATCTTCTCTTGATGAGAAGGGTTGCATTGTGTCTGATGGAGATAGCGGTGGCGATGATTTCTGGGGTGAGATTGAGTTGCCGGAGCTGATGGAGAGCGAGTGTTGCTGGAGTTCTCCGAGTGATATGACGGTGTGGACGGAGGTTGAGGTTTTGGCGCAGCAACCTTTGATGTCGGCTTGTTTTAATAACTAATGCTACTTAGTATGGTTGGTATGTCTCTTGCATGTCATTGTAATTTCTATGTTTTCTATACTCTGTAATAACTTCATGTTCTCAGGGACTTATATATTACTTTAAAAAATTATTTCATCTGAATTTAAAATTTGAAGGATTGTATGCATGTGTTTTGAATATTTATTTACATTATTTAGAAAAAAATCATCTTTCTTATCTTTTCATGTTATGCTAAATATATTGAGTATTTTTAATATGTTAAAGTTTGAGTTTGATATAATTTATTTTTAAACTATCTCTTTTTCTATAGAAATTGAGTAGATTTGCATGCAACATTGAGACTAATTTTTTGAGTTTGAGAGGACAACAATTGAGACAAAATTCTTTCTCAACAAAATTTAATAATTTTGTGTATCCAAAAAACCTAAGATTTTTGATTAAAAATGTAGAGATGCATGAACGATTTTTGAAATAATAATTTGATATTCAATTTTACATTCGATTAATTCAATAGATTATTTTCGCTTTCTACTTGCAATAGTTTCGTTTAAAGACCGAGGAAGCTCTAATATAAAAATTGTTTGCATGTCTAATAAAAGTTAAACTGAAATTTTAAGAGAAACAAACTCTCACAATCCAAGTTTTCATTAGTAGACGAATTTGTGAGCTAGTTGAAATAATAATTAGTGAAGCTAAACCTCGTAGTATTCTAGAATACTAGTATCATGTGCCACAGGGCTGTTTATGTTTCTGTTTTGTATGAATCTCACATAACATAACAACGTGGGGCAACCAAACAATTTGAGATAAAATCATGTCAACAACACCTATAGAGGGATTTTATCATGTTTTGCTTTGTACTTTTTATTAGGAAAAAGTGACAAGAAAATTGACCTTTTACTCGCAATTTTTAATGTTTATTTGTCTTTAACTAAATAGAGTGGAGGTGGGATATATACGTCTAGTAATTAGTTAGAACCTTATAGAGTTTGGAAAAATGAGGTTAACTAGCTAGGGTGTTTAATTTCTTTTGACACTGAATTCAATCAACATCTACAACGCGTTATTCGTGTATGAGTGGGATTTTCCTCAATATCTCAGGTAATAAGATTAATGGGGAATGAAAGGGACTTTTGTTTGTGCCTAGGGGAGTGCATTATAATTGGTAAAAGATTAAAATGAAGACCAATGATGTGCATTGTGAAGTAAGAAAAATGAAATATAATAATAAAAACCCTTTCGTCATAATAGATCATTATTATAAATAAATTTGACTTTTTTTTTTAAGTATATTTGATCGTATTTAGTTCATATAGATTAAATACATTAATTGTTAAATACATCAATTTCCCTAACCAAAGGAACAAATCATAATTCATCTAAAAAAGTGTTGCCTAAAAACAATTCGTCTAATTGATGGAATGAAGCTTCACTTGATCAGAGACCACTTTTGGCAAAGCTATTTTCTTTTACTGGAGAAATGAGGAGTCAACCCTTCTAATGATCTTTAATTCATCTGAGTCATTTTAGTCTCATATAGAACTACTTTGGATCATGTGATCAAAAGTACAAAAGTCAAATCATATAGTTGATAAACTTAAGATTTGACATCATCTAAAAAGCGGAGTTGACATTATCTAATAGACATTGTCTCGAAGAGAAAAGTTGACATCATCTTGGAGACATGTTCTCTTTCTATTATCTCTATATTTTCCATCGCTTTATTTTCTTTACGTTGTATTTTTCTCTCTCCATTTCTTATTTATTCTTTCTCTTATCTATTTTTCTGCGTAATCTCTTTGTAAATAATAACATTAACTTAAAAGTTTTTATAAATTAAAGTTTTATATAATTGGACTTTGCTTTTTAATCAACGCAATTCATATACTTTTTCTAAGAGGAAAAGAATTTGAAGAGCCCGTGAAAAAAGATGTAGTAATCATGTGGTTGTTGACTCATAATTATTAAATCAAATGGGCATACAGAGTGATGTGTCATATGTTCAAGTGCAAAAGGAACAACATAGGTTGGCTACCTTATGGTAATTTAGTCACCAAAATTTTAATCAATGCTAGAATAAATATGGAAGGCTATTTTTCAAATCCAACATCTTCCATTCCATTTTGGATCAAAATCTCTAAGTAAGATCAAGATCCTAGTCGCTAATAGAGATTTAGAAGATGAACCAACTGATATGGAATATATGATGTTGAGGCTACTTAAGATATGACTTGTAAAGAGATGCTTTCGACCATCCTCTCAATCTTTCAAGAGAAATCCTTAATTATTCAAAAGATATCCAAGGAAGTTGTGTTTCTTAAAAAGTTTGTGAGGGGGAAATAAAAACTAAGGTTTGATGATGATAGTGACAACGAGTAGTTGTCTTGCTCCTTGTTTTTATTTCCTACTTTAATTATGTTTACTTTCCCGCAATTTTTCACTTCGTTGTATTTGAACCTTTTTCGATCAATTTAAATTAAGTTACTTTTTTCTCTTAAATGATTATTTGTGATCTATGTGCTTTTATCTTAAGTTGCTTGTGCTTTTATTTTATTTTTTATTTTTCTCACATTTTTTTATAATGTCAAACGGGAAAACGTATGCTCTCAGGGGGAGTAGGGTATAATCTTTGTATTTGTGTGTCGGGGTGGAGGGGGGGTTACCCATCTACTTTTTATTTTTATCACGTCTTTGAGAGATCCATTGTCATCATCAAAAAGGGAGAGAATGTGAATCTATGTGCTTGTAGATAACTTTATCTTCAACCATTATATGATCTTATTAATTTTGATGATGACAACACCTTATATCAAATGATATTATGTGAAGTCTGTATCAATCAAGAAGGTTCCATGATCAAGATGCTCTATGTGAAATCAAGATGCTCTTTTTAAAATCAAATATCAAGTCATTTCAATGATGATAACACCTAATGTCAAACAACATTTGGTGAAGTCTTTGGTGACATTTATCCATCAACCTCTAATGATGGTGTATGATCAAAGAAGTCTCTCAAGCTCATTAGTTGAAAATTCAATTTCCATATAAAGTGTTGAATTAATGTTAAATCAAGTAGGGGAACTTGAAGTTTCAAAGATGTTAAAGAGAGAAAGTGTGAAATCTCTCTTGGTCCTACGCTTGACACATGTACGGGGGATTGGTTTAATGTAAAAGTATAAGAGTAAGTATCGAGATACTAAAATATATCACACACATGCTTAAATATGTTTTTGAAACCTCTCTTATTTGATAAAATATCTGAAATTTTTTTATATGCATCCTTAATTGATTACCAACTTGTTTAATAAATTAGGAGGACTTTTTACACTGTTACTTGATTAACATATTATGGTTAACCGATTAACTTATTTGTAACTCCTCCAAATTGATTGAGGAAGTATTTAGTTGATTAATGAAGGCGTAATTAAAAAACCTTCCATATTTATCTTGTCTAATCAATTAGAACATTAAAAATGTTCAATGATCATTTCCTTTTGAGGCAATTCTTTTCCTATAAAAAGAGAGTTTCTCCTCATTCCATTTTACACTAGAAACCGAATTTGAAATCGTTATTTCTCGTTTTCTACTCTCTTCCACTTTTTTCTTATGCTTCAACAAAAATGTATTAGTGCAAAGAGAGTGAAAAATATTTATGAGATTTTTATTGTGTTGGTATTTTACTTATCATGTACTTTACTCAAGAGGGTGTTGTATCTTGCGTAATATTGTTTGGTTCTTGAAATTAGCCCGTTAAAATCTCAATTTGGTTCTTGAGTTCAGTCGCTGAAAAAATCTATTAGGTTTGGACATTAGCATGCTAAGATATCTTGTTTGGTTTGGATATTAATCTGTTAAAATATCTTATTTAGTTTGTAGATTAACCTTTTTAATATATCTTGTTTAATTTGTGAGATTAGTCCATTAAAATTTATATTTAGTTGTAAGAAGGTTTATGGGCAGTTTATGGACATAACATGTGAAAACCCACCTCTCTAGAGGAACTCTGAAGAGGAAACTCTTAGGGATATAAGTAGGCTAAGTGGTTAGGCCAAACCTATATAAATCTCTAATGTGTATTCTATTTCCAAAATCTCTTTATTTTCAATTACTTTGTTTTCTTTACGTCTATTGCGGTGCAAAAAATTATTCAAGACGTGCTTGAAATCAATGAAGTTGTCATTAAAGTTTACTTTAAAATGGAAAACATTGACAAAACCCTATAAAACAAAACAAAATGGAATTCACAACCAAATTTAAGTTCGGGGCTCGATTATGTGTAGGGAAGATACTAGCACCCTACAAATTCCATTTAAGAAAACAGTTACCTCTAGTTAATTTTGTAAAAGAATGTTGTTAACCTTATTATATCGATTTTTTCTAATCATTAAACACAAAGCATGACCTATTTACGAAGAAAAATGAGGAGTTTTTTATTATTATTATTATTATTGTGCTTGACAAGATTTGATTCTTGCTCATCCGTATCTCATGGTGCGAGGGGGAATGCAAATCTACGTAGTTTTTGGTAGAAAAATCTTGTGTTGGTTGATTTTAAAGAAAAATATTTTTACTATGTTAGAGAGAAAAAAACGTTGTTTGTTGGTTAATTAGAGCAGATAAAAACGTTGTTTGTTGATTGTGTTAAAGCAAATAAAATATTGTATGTTGGTTGGTTGTGATTGTTTTTAGGAGAAAGACATTACAAATAAGTAGTACAACTTGTGTCTGAACACTTAAAAGAAATAGATGTATGTCCAATTAATCCTTGTGTAATCTAATTTTGCTTGTAATAAAAAGATTTACCACGAATTGAGTTCTAATATCTTAAAGGAAGATAAATGTTAGAACAAATAAGTTGTGTGACATGTGTATGAACACTTGAGGGTAAAAGGGGTGTACATCAAATTAATCCTTTTTAAATTCGATAAAAGAATGAACTAAAAATGATCAAGTTATTAATTAACCCTTTTTTAAAGGAAGGCACACATTTGAACAAGAAAGCAGTAAGACTTGTGTCT